CCACATTAAGTAGAAGCAAACAATGGTATATTAAGGCAGACAGAAAACCAGATGTGAAGGTTTTAGAGCACAAGAGAGCATAGACTAAATACCATGGATGAGATTTGGGAAAGCCAAGTTCAAGCAGAGGGTTTGAGTTGGTCACTGAGCAGAAACAGGTAGATAGGTGGGGTGAGACAGATGGCAGAAGTCTTGGACTATGGAGATAAGACTTCTAAGTAAAACCTGATCACATAGAATCTAGTGAGAAGTGAAGAATGCTGGAATATGATCAAGAATGTTTATTCTGAAATTGCAAAGGACACAGTGACAGAAGTCTGTCTACTATACTTGAATCAAACATACCATGTTGTTGTTGTTACTATATGCTGTCAAGGCAAGTATGATTAAAGTAAACCCATGAACAACGTATCTGAAACCTGCCCTATCCTGTGCCATTCTCACTATCTCCGACACATTTGAGCCCATTGCTTCTGTCACTGTATCAATTAATCTTGTTGAGAGTGCTACTCTCTTACAGTGACCCTTTCCCTTTTGAAGCATAATGTCCTTCTCCAAGAACTGACATGCCCAAAGTATGTGAGACAAAGTTTCACCATCCTTGCTTCCAAAGAGCACGATGGTTTCTTTCTCTTTTTCCAGGACAGGTATGGCACATTCAGAACTTTTTTCCAATATAATAACTCAAAGGCATCAATAATTCTTCTGTCATTCTCTGTTACTATCCAACTTTTAAATGCATATTAAAAGCAATTGAGAAGACCATGGCTTAGATCAGGTGCATCTTAGTCTTAAAGCAAATATCATTGCTCTTTAGTATTAAGGAGAGGTCCATGGAAGCAGATTTTCTCAATGTGACTTGTCTTTTGATTTCTTGACTGCTGGTATCAAGAATGTTGACTGTCAACCAAAGCAAGATGAAATCATTGACAACTTCTGCAATCATGACTATCTCTGCATCTGTCATGATGTTGCCTATTGGCCTGGTGGTTAAGAACTTTGGTTTTCTTGATGTTGAGATGTAATCCATACTGAAGGTTGTAGTCCTTGATCTTCTGTAGCAAGTGCTTCAAGTTCTTCCCTTTACTCAGCAAGCAAAATTGTGTCATTTACACAATGCAGATTTTGATGAATCTTCCTCCAATCCTGAGGACACACTTTGAATTATTTGTTTAGTGTACAGACTGAATAGGTATGGAGAAAGAATACAACTCTGCCTCATACTTTTCTTGATTTTAAACCATGCAGTATTCTCTGGCTCTGTTTGCACAACAAACTCTTGGTCTAGGTACAAGTTTTATATGAATACAATCAAGTGTTTTAGGAGTCCCATTATTCTCAGTGTTAGCCATAACTTGTTATAATCCACACAGTCAAATGCCTTTGCATGGTCAATAAAACACAAATACACATCCTTCTGGTATTCTCTGTCTTCAGCCAAGATCCAACGAAAATCAGCAATGATATCCCTGGTGCCATGGCCTCTTCTAAATTCTGCTTGAATTTCTGGCAGTTCTCTGAGATGATTTTTTCTAGCCATACCTGAATAATATTCAGCTAGATTTTGCTTGCATATGATCTTAATGAAACTGTTCTATAATTTCAACATTTGGTTGGATCATCTTCTTTGGGAATGAGAATAAATATGAACTCCTGGAATGATGTCACAGATGTTAAAAAGGCATTTGATAAAACATGTCCATCATTCCTAATAAAAATACTGCGTAATTTAAGAGTTGATGTAATAAATGTAATAAAATCATGTTGTTGTTGTAGTAGTTACTGATTGCTTTTGAGTCGAGTCTGACTCATAGCAACCCTATGAACAAAAGGCCTGAAGACACTCTACAACTATTGACATTTATCAAAGTTCATAGAGTTTACAGAGGCATGTTGTTTGGAATTGGATGCCACTTCCAAAATAAAATAATAAACCAATATTATCCTAGAAAGAAAATGCAAAGTCCTTTAAATGAAAGGTAGAAGCTGGACAGGTTTGCCAGAAGCCACTAATTTAACTTTTTTTTTTTATAGTATCAGCAAATGTAATGGAAAATAAGTGGTATAAATGGCAGGAGAGACAAAATTCTTTTTGTCAATGAGATTATATACTGTTAAAAAGCCGAACAAACTCTAGTAACAACCATACTAGAATTAACACAATATTTGAGCTAGCCATAAGTTCTCAGATAAAGAAAAAGGAAAATATTCTATCCACAGTTAGACAAGAACCATAACACATCAAGGAGTAAATTTGAAAGGAAAGACACTGAGTATATACAAAGGAAGATCTTGCTGAAGAATATAAAGCAGTACAAAAAAATGAAAAGCCATGCCATGTTATTTGAAAGGAATTTTCTATTATAAATTGTAAATTCTTTAATCCAACAGGAAGTTGTCAAGAGAAATGGTTTAACTCAAGTATCGGTGTCGTCGTCATTATGTGCCATCAAGTCATAGGCAACTTCTAGTGACCCTATGAACGAAAGACCTGAACGCTTGTATAACTTTCATTCTTTCTCTAGGTTCATAGGGTTTCCAGAGGCAAGCTATTTCAGAAGTAGATACCACTCCTGCTTCCAAGCTTGTTTTAATCGGGGAGCTCCACCAAACTCTGCCCACCATGGGTAACCATTATCTTATTTGACACATCAGTGTCACAGTGTTCAGCTTCACAGCAACCATGAGTTACCTCTGTACAGCAAGTGTCATATAAAATTTAAATTGAGTTTCTATCTGTTTTTTGAGGTATTATGTGTGTGAATGTGTCCTGTTGTCCCACTTGAATTATACTTTGTTGGGCATAGAACTTTAGGTGGAGAAACTTATTTTCCGTAAGGAACCTTCTCCTCTAGTTTTCATGTTACTCTATAGTATTGGAAGCAGGAGTGGCATCCACTTCCTAAACAACAAGCCTCTAGAAACTATGAACTCTGAGAAACGACGATAGGCTTTAGGTCTTTTGTTCATAGGGTCACTGTGAGTTGTGCTCGACTTGGTGGCTATCAACAACAACAATCATATAACATATACAAAACTACAATTCAAAGAAATTAAAAACTAAGGTGAAAAAGTTAATTACACCTTAGATTTCAAAAAGTAAAAAAAGAAAAAAAGAACTTAGATTAAAAAAATACAAATATCTTTGAATAAAATCCAAGAGACTACATCTGGAACCACATGGAATTAAGAGAGAACTTTGTTGTTTAACAAATCTAAGAGGTTATAAACAAAGTGAGACATTTCAACAAATGAAATGGGGTTTTTTGTATATAAAAAAAATCATAAACAAATTCCTCGAAACCGATTTAAAAGATAACCCAGCTGAGAAATGAGCAAAGAATAGAACTAATTCATATAATCTGAGAAATGTAAATTAATGTACTATTGCAAATTCATTTTATACTTATCAGACTGGCAAAAATGGAAAAGGAAAACTACCACCTCTATCTGGTAGGACTGACTGAAAATGTACTTTCCTAAAGGCAGAAATATGGTTTGACAGTAGCCACCAAAATGAAGCCACTCTGCTAACCCAAAGCCTGTCCTTCTCTAATGGTTCAAGTTCACCATCAACTCCCCAGGAGAAAGATGGACAGTCTCCGCCAGAACAATTTCCAGCCCTGGGAACGCCCTGCAGGATCAGCGGTGAGTCAAAACAGATTTAGGGACAACGAGAAAGAGGAAACAAGATTAAAATGAAAACATGCAGGCATATGCTTTGAATATTCCTAGGAAGCTATTAGCCCTGATGGCAGAGTGGAGGGTCAGCGTATGTGAGGAAGACCCTCAATGAGATGGATTAGCGCCAACAAGCTCCAGTATGTCAGAGATGATGAGAATGGCACAGGACAGGACAGAGTTCGGATCTCTTGTTCATAGGGTCAGTTTGAGTCACGCTTGACTCGATGGCACCTAACAACAACAACAACAGGCATTTCTTAATGAAACATAGTAGAGTTCATGAGGATGGCACAGGATCAAACAAAGCTTCATTCCGTTGTAATCAGGGCAACTATGAATTGAAGCTGATGCAATGGTACCTAACAAGTATTTCTATTTCTTCATAACATCACATTGACCTTGAAACCCTGTGGAGCACACTTCTATTGACACACATGTGTCACCATGAGTGGGGTAAACTTGACTGCAATTTTTGGTTTTGTTTTAATTAGTCTCACATCCTAAGAAGGAACTGAGGAGTGCGCTGAAACCAACTCCTCCACTTTACAGCTGATGAAACGCAGCCAGGTCAGGTAAATTCTCGGCTCACCTCTTATTCATTCTGTTCTTCAGATGGAAAACATTATTTTCTATCCAATAAATAAATGCTAAACCGCCAAGGAGAATATTTCTTTAGTTACTAAAAACACTTGTAGTTATATATAAAAATCACCTCTATATTTAAGAACTGAATTGAAAGGTATACAGTCTGTGTATATTCCGTTATCTAAACCTGTAGATCCACTGGTTACAATCTGAAATTCTTATTATCAATCACTAATTTAGTTGTAGTCTTTATTCAATCAACATTTCCTAAACAAACAGAATGTATGCAATGATCAACAGTGGTTCTTATCCCCAAGGGAGCTCACCATCCAGTGGGAAACGCCACAGGCTGTAAAACAGGCCAGACTGCAATACAAACCAAGTGCAGAAGGAATAGTTCATTGTGGCTGGGATTTCAGGGACAGCTTTCAGAGTGACATCTGAAAGGGGCCATGTGAGAAACAAGATTTCTGGTGAAACTCAAGAGCAAATGCTAAGAAGTAGCACGTTTGAGGAAATGATCAGAAGAGAGGCCAATCCAGGAAGAGCACAATAAGAGTTAAAATTAGAAATTCTCATGTTCCAATCTAAAGTTTGTAAATTCAACTGAAGTGGAAGATAATCTGCCACCTTAATTAATGTCTGTAACATATAGCAGTCAGTGTGTCCAGGGTAAGCCTTGACCAACTAAGTCATTTTGTTCAATTCATGAAATAGTTTCAGCATATTACCATGTGTCGTCCGGGGTCTAAATCTCCCATCATTCCTTTCAGATGCGTGTTTTCAGTTCTGACAGCTTTATATTTCATATCTATGACCTAAAAGAAGATTAGTACACAATAGGTTTATGTGAAATTCATTAAAAACCCCTTCTAATTCTGAGCAAGCGATTTTTTTGTTAATATCCAAATATTTTTGGAGTGTTAGTGAAAAGAAATACATGTCTTCTTATTCAGTATCATCATAAAACAGCTACTCTCATTCATTTCTGACCTGTCCTGACATAGTAGCAGGTTCTACATTACTCTCCTTTTCTCTATCGATGCTAAATTAAAAAGCAGAGATTTACAAGAATGAATCATTTATTTTTTCCTTCCAGTTCCAAAATTCCAATTCTCATTTATATTTTTATACTACATTTAAATTATCAAGAATAATACTTTTTAAAACATGCATGAATAACACTCTTCATTACTTCATTTTTATTACACACAATATATGATTTTGAATGTTAATTCTGTTCTTCCTAATTCTCTCTGCCAAATTGCCTCCTTTTTTTCTGTAGCGTAACTACTTCATTTTCTCTCTGAATGTATTTCCCCTTTCCTGCTGTCTTCTATATAGTACTTATATACAGTATTCTCTGCCCTTTTATTAATCTAGGCTTATTTCCATTGAAAATATTTCCTTTAAGAAGACTGTTGTTCCTAAACTACAAAAATATATTATATGCTCTATGCCAAAGATCTAGAAAATGCAAAGATCATAAAGGTTCAAATAACAATCACTGATATGGTAACTACTCAGATCATTGTTAGCATCTGGTGGCCCAGTGGTAAGGAGTTGCACTGACAACCCACAGGCACAAGGTTTGACTCTACCATCTTGGATTTCTGTAAGATTGACAGCCTCTGAAAACCCGACGGAGGGTCACTATGAGTTGGTTTTCTACTGGCTGCCACATAACCACAACAATATCCTCCTCAAAATGTGAGAATATTTGTTTGTTAAAGTTACATGCTTGTGGTATTTCTGTTCTAACAGCACTAGATAACTAATACATTGCAGTATTTTCCTGTATGTTGTATGAATTAATAACATTTTAAAGTTTATTTTAGTGGACCAAATGTTGAATCTTTCTGTTTTCTTATGGGACAGGATTTTTTCCCCACTTCTTTTTCTTGTGTACCATCAAATAGCATCTGACTGGCACAGGAGGAGACTGTCTTTCCTCCAGTGAAGCATCTGGTGGATTCGAACCACGTACCTTTGGGATTGCAGTGTAGCTTCTTTACACTGGGCCACCAGAGCTCCCTGGGATAGGATTTCAATAACTGTTCTATTTTGAAGTGACCCTATCATGCTTTAAAGTTTTTTAAGGGAACATGGAAAACTTACAGAATTGGGGTTGGGAGAACAGATAAATCTCATGCCTTCAGGAGAGGTCACCATTTGGTGATAAAAGAGAGAAAACAAGGAAGAAGCAGAAAGGAAAGAAGGAAGAATGGAGAGAACATGGGCCATGGGGGACGAGAGATAAAGAAAGAGGGAGGGAATAAAGAAGCTTAAACAATAAACTTGGAAGCTGCCCGCTGTAATTTAACAGCACAATGGTACAGCTATTGTTCTCCTGCATGTAGCATGCTATGCGCTGAATACATAGGCACTGGTATTTATGCCTCCACCATTCATTATTGAAAATCCAAAAATAAGTATCTGAGATGGGGCAGTGGGAAGTGCTCAAGACTACAGAGTTTTCAAGAGTAAACTCTTAATGGAAAGGAGGCTCTAGAAATTCAGGAAGAGATCTTTGACTAGATCATATTGTGTGAAGTCATCAGACTGCTTTCTGCAGGAAACTAATAGGGTGAGAATGAATTAAATTATATTGCACCACCTCTTTATATGTCATGAATATTATAATGTGATGCCACAAAGCATTTCTGTGATGTCAGCCTTGGAAACCATGACAAGAAGAGCAATACTGTTGTTAGTTGATACTGAAGGTGACTCTGAGGACAACATCATCTGGACAGTGCAGTCCCTGCCCGCATACCTGCTGTTTCGCCAGCATCTTCTCTTTGATCTCTAACTCCACTTTTAACTGCTTTTCCAGGAGGGCGGCCTTCTTCATGACAGCTGCTATAGTGACCTCCTTCTGATGAAGCTCTGCTGTGAGCTCAGAGATTTCACCCCTCATTCTCTCCTGCTCAGAGCTGTGGTACTCGTCCCCCGCATAGAGCTGGCCCCTTATCTGCAGCAGGGACATTCCAGGAAACAGTAACAATCCTTTTATTTACAGTGCCACTGAGAGCTTTTATTGCCTATATATTTTTCTTAATACCTACTCTTTACAAGAAGGTGAAGAAAGCATTCTCAAACACTTAGGGAGAAAAATTTGCCTTAGAGAAGTTAAATGACTTATCTAAAGTTTTAACACTAATTACCTAGGCTCCTGGCTTTGAAATCAGTGCTTTCTGACTAAATTATACTTCAATTTATGGTGAAATGCTAATTATGCTTTTCATAATTACATTGTAATAAACTCTCAAAGTATCCACAAAAATGCATTGGCTCCTTCTTTGCTTAAGCCTGTGTATATCTCCTCTCTTATACTCTTAATCTTGGCTGGTCCTTGGATTTGAAACTTCTCAAGCATCCTGGATTTCTCCTTAACCTCATCATCTCAGTCCAATCATGCAGGGAAGTCTGTCAGTTCTATGTCACCATGTCTTAAACCTGGCCTTTGTTCTCTATTCCTACAACCTCTGCCTTAGAGTAGCCTCTCTCCATCATGCTTGAACCACGTGACCTCCCCACCATTCACTGTTTCTAATCCTAGAGATTTAGAAACAAAGTTGACAAGAACAACAAAAAAGTTGCCAGTACAGTGAGAAACAGAAATAGAAACAATTTTAGTAACATAATAATCAATATCAGGAAAGAGGCTACAGTGAAGAGCATGCATGGAAAGAATTCCCAGAGCAGAAAGACATTAGAACTGAATGCTGAAGGAGGAATGAGTCAATTGGGAGATGATAATGGCGGGATTCCAAGCAAAGGATGCAGGGATACTATGGAATATTGGTCCTTATATGACAGAGATATTTCACTCAGCATAATGTCCTGCAGGGTCACCCATGTTGTGTAATGTTTTATGAGTCATTGTTTTTCAGTGCTGCATAGCATTCTCTTGCATGACTATACCAGTTTTTTCATTGCAGCATTGTTATAAAGCAAGTCTGACATGTGGGCTTGGGAAGAGAATAGGTTGAGAGGGGATAGATAATGAACATTGCACCACAGCAGATGAAGAAAGGAGCTGTTTAAAAGAAATACATAATTAGGCAACAGACCAGATAAGAAGTACACTGCAAAGAGGACTGGCGGAGAGAGGTAATTAATTGCACAACAATTTAAAAAACAAAAAAGTGAACTGGGAGATGGGGAAAGGAAAGAGAGGGGATAAAAATGTGCAACAATGAATGAATTAAAATCTAATTTTTCTATAAACTTTTTTTAAAATCACAAAGGAAAAAATTATTTTAAAAAACAAATAATAATAACCTCCCAAAGGATATAAAGTAAGAAGAGCCCGAGAAGCCAAAGGAGTGTGGAGGACCTGGAATGGTTGTGAGAACTCAGGCCAGAGCCCTAAGCAGAGGCCATCCACCAGGGATTTGTTTGCATTTGCCTCAGACTACTGATTTATGGAACTAGTTTTTAAAATTTCATCTTTGAACTTTTCAGTATATATCTTAAAAAAAGAACATAAAGCAAGAATAGCACCATATTTAACCACAATTTCTGGAGATCATCAATTATCTAGTCAGTATGAAAAGTTACTATTGAGTAAAAAAAATCTTAATAAATGCTTTTTTGACTTTGTTTTGTTGAATTAAACAGTAGTAGCTAAGTATGACCCTGTACATCGAGACTGGCTAAAATGTCTTCGCATAGTCTCTTTCTCATCTGTGCTTGTATGTGTTCTAAGTTGTTGCTGCATATCGTAGAGTCCGAACCAACTCATGGCTGACCCTCCAGCAGGGAGTTAATCCCATGAGAGAAGACTGTCCGTCCTTCTCCCGCAGAGCAGCTGGTGGCATTGAACCATGTGCTTTCGGGATTGTAAAGCAGCTCCTTGCCACTAGGCTACCAGAGCTTCCTGTGTTCTCAGTACTGTCCATTAATCACTGAATTGAATCCCCACAACTCTCTGAGATCAGGTGCAATGACTCTATTTTGCAGATTAGAGAATTAAGGTAAATTTGTTTTACATGCACATCATAGGAGCAAGGCAGTCTGACTCTAGAGGCTTACCTATGGCACTATGCTACCTGTTGGTGGGCCAACTCCTAGAAGATGGCTCGATCTGCCATAGAAGCAGGGTTATACAATGTATATGAACTTTATATGTAAACCGGTATTTTTTTAAAACCGTATTAATATTAAAAAAAAAAAAGCAGGGTTCTAGGAATGTTCCCTAAGGTGGATGACCTAACACGAATGTGCACACATCCAGAAAGCAAATTTGGTCCATTGCCAGATTTATAGCTGCCAATCTGTCCTCTAAATCTATTCTTACTATTACCTTTTTTTTTTTTTTTTTTTAGAATTTCCGAGTTGGACATAACCTTAGAAATCACATGGTAACTTCTCAGAATTTTACAGATGAAAAAAGAAAAACAATTCTCAGGGAAAGAAAGTGGCTGAAATGATTTATATCATGGGAGCAAAGAAGATATAAAGTCTTGATTCCAAGCCTAAGGGTAATATTACAAGTCTCTTTTAATCTAGCTGATCTATTTCCAGGGTTTATTCCCTTGCAATTTGTTTGATGAAGCAGCAAGATTATTTGTTTTGCAAAGTTTGTTCTAGAGTAATACAATTATGTTGAATAAAAGTATTCAAAATACTTGAAGAGTGTAGCCAATGTTATTTAGTTATACATGGAGAAATTGTCTGATGGGTGTATGCTCTTCTTCGTACATTTTAATAAAATTTTAAAAAGGTAAAGAAACCAGATGAAGGGAAACAGAAATGTGCAAAGTTGGGCTTTGAAAGTAGGGGAGTTTAGTATGTTCCTGTTCAAATAAACTTTTAAAGTGTAAAAAAATTTAAAATGCTATTATGAAAAAGGAGTAAACAGTTAATTTTTTTGCAACACTTTAATGTTAAAGCAACAAGCTATTCTGCAAAGCTTCTTTCTAAATTAGATTAATTTACCTGAACACCAAGTGATTTCTGGCTTTATTAAAAAGGCCTATTTTATCACAAAATGAATTACTGAAAATAGCTTTTTACTGGAAAAAAAGAAAATGGAAATCAAACACTTATAAGATTCATAATACGTGCTTCTTGTTGGTTTTATTACAAGAGAATGGAAATGCTTTCCACAAACACTTCTTGGAAATGATAGCTATTTATATACAATCTATTTATTCCCTTTTCTGAACAACACTGCACAGTCTAGTGGGGTCCAATAGCCTAGAAAGAGATTTGTCCCTCATAGTCCCTCCTTCCACAGGAAAACTGTGGAAAATAGTAGATTCTTTATATTAGCCAAGGTTTTATTACTCTATTTCTATGAGATTCAGAATAGTGTTACTACAGTTTGGGTCACTTTAATCAATCTTTTCTCACAATGCATCTACTGAGGACATGAGGCAGGGATGATGTTTTAAAGTTATGTTTTTAACTATCAGCAAAATCAGCTTCATGGGTTTACACACTATAAAGTGCTCAAAGTATAAAGAAGATAGTAATGTATTGGTAACACCTTTGTACACAAAAGGCTGGTGGGTCAAATTCATCAGCTGTGCAACAGGAAAAATGGGGATGTCTCCTCCTGCAAGGATTTACAGCCTCAGAAATTCAGGCCACTATGAGTTGAAATCCACTCCATAGTAGCAGGTTTTGATTAGGTTTCTACACATAACCTCAAATATTCCCTTGATGGGTATTTGAGAGACGGAATTTATGTTTCACAGCATCCTATTTCCTGCAGGAATCTGAAGAATAGTAACAGTCCTACTAGATGCTCAATATAAATCTGCTGAATTTACACAAACAATTCAAGTTATGTGTCTCTACAGCTGTGAGAGAACCTCGCCTTATTAGTGTTACTTACTCAGTGTGAGACTGCTGGTAAATAAAAACCATGGCCATCTTTTTTATACTTTAAATTGTAAAATTTATAAATCTAAATTGTTTAGATTGTTTGTTGTTGTTAGGTGCCACTGAGTGGAGTATGACTCATAGTGGCCCTATAAACAAAAGATCTGAACTCAGTCCTGTCCTGAGCCATTCTCACACTTCCTGACACACAAGAGTGAATTGCAGTAGTCATCATGTCAATCCACCTGGATGAGGGTCTTCTTCTTTTTTGCTGACCCTCCACCCTTTCCAACATCATGCCCCTCTCCAAGCAACCTAGCACCTCCTAGCAACATGTCCAAAGTATGTGAGATGAAGCCTCATCATTCTTGCCTCTGGCTGCACACTCTCCAAGACATATCTGTTCATTCTCTCCGCTGTCCACGGGATATTCAGGGCTCTTCTCCAACACCACAGCTCAAAGGCATCAATTCTTTTTCTGTTATCCTTATTTATTGTCCAGCTCTCAGATGCATAGCTAGTAACTGGAAAGACTATGGCCTGCATGAGACACACCGTGGTCCTCAAACTGACATCACTACTTCTCAAGAATTTGGAAAGGTCCCTAACTATAGATTTTCCCTGTGCAATGCCTTTCCATATTTTCTGACTGCTAGAGTGTTAACTGTGGATTCAAGCAAGATATTCAGATCCTCACACTATAGGCAAGAGAGGTAAATACTAACTATGATAAACTCATGAGAAGAAAATGCCATTACTGGTTTTTGCTAGAGAAGACAAGATACAGTTTTGTATGAGAATAAAGCCACTAGCTGCTCCATGGGAGAAAGATGGGTAATCTGTTCAATTAAAACGGTCTCTGAAAACCTGTGGAGGCTCAGCTATAGGTCAGTTCTAGCAATTACACTGCTATGTATATATCCTAAAGGAATAAGAACTTTGGCATGAAATTATAAATGCACACCCATGTCCCCTGCACCATTATTTAGAATAGCAAAGGGGTAGAAACAACCCAAATGTTCATCAACAGACAAACAGGTAAAGTATTCACACAATGGAGTACTGCCCAACATTTAAAAACAACAAACAATTATCAAAATGCTGTATAACATGTATCTAGAGGATATGCTGACTGAAAAAAGTCAGTTACAAAAGGACAAATATTGTATAAGACTTTTTCATCTTTTGGTCATTGCCATTGAGTTAGAATCAACTCATAGTTGACCCTCCAGCAGATTTTCAAAGGTTGTAAATCACACAGGAGATTGCCCATCTGTCTTCACAGGGGAGCCAGTGGATTAGAATTGCCTGCTTTTGGGCTGGAGGGTCAGCTATGAGTCACTTCCAACTCGCATGTTACAACAACTACTGTTCTAAAATAAACCCACCTTTCTCTCCTAATGTGCTGAGTAAACATGAGCTCTTCCCCACTCCCTTAACCTAACTTGCAAATGATCTTCCCCTCCTTGAGGCTGATTTGGGAAGTTCATACCCCCATCTTCTATTTAAGAGAATGTTAGAAATCTGCCTTTTCTGTTGTGACCCCTATCTCAAGACTGGTTTCTCCAGCAGCAGGCAGGCAGCAGAAATGGTAATTTTCTGATAACCATGGAAAACCCAGTAAGTGGATGCCCAGAATTTGTAGGTATTGTAGTTAATGTTACAAAATGAGATGACAGAATGAATGTCAAAATGCTTTGTGAACTTTCACTTAAATCACAACAAAAACCTGTGTGTATGTAAGAGTGTGTATGTAGATGTGTCCTCTCATTCTTTTCTGTACCTTATTCAATTCCTTTTCATGGTTTGGTTGATCAGGAGCCACTGAAAACAATTCTTTCCTTTTCCTTTCTGTTTCTTTACTATGAGGTGAATAAGATGCTTCAAGTCTGTAAAACAAAAAGAACAAAAAGATTAACTTAGTAAACTGTTTTGATTCTATTATTAATTTAAACCATTGTTGATTACAGAGTTATGTCATTAGTGTGTCAGAAACATGTCTATTTACAGAATCTACAAGTTTGAATATATTCAGATTATACTAGTATTTCTGGATAAGAAGAAAAGGTGATAATAAACTAGTTTGGGAACCCATTAAAAAAGAAAGGCAATACATTAGTCTTGCTTTTGCATAGTAAAAAGGAATTATGAAGGGAGAGCCCGGGGGGAACAATTACTCCATAAAAGTGATTAAAAAAGTGATTAAATCTGACAGTCTTAACCATAGAGAGCTCAAATATATCCATTCTTCGGCTCCTTAATTTATAAAATGGAATTGCAACCACAAATGGACACTAAAGGAAAAAAGAAAAAATTAGTATTAAAAAAAAAAATCACATTTCCTCCAGGAAGTATACTACTTCCTACAAGCAAGTAATGTTCACTTTTAAAAATGAGGTGAGTTTATAAAATGAAAATAATTAAAACACAAAATCAATGATAACTAGCAGAGAAAAGAGCTCTGGTGGCCTACTGGGTAAGGAGCTGGATTGCTAACCCAGAATATGCACTTCAATTCTAACAGCTGCTCTACTAGCAATTAGGTTGAACAAAAAGACTGCATTGGCAAAATCTGAGTAAGTTCACAATTTTAGGCTTGATGACACATAACATTTTAAAAGGAGCTCTGGTGGTTTAGTGGTAAGGAACTGTGCTGCTTACACAAAGGTATGTGGCTCGAATCCACCAGCTGCTCTGCTGGAGAAAGATGGGTAATTTCCTCCTGTGGGATTAACTGCCTCTGAAAACCCACTGGAGGGTCAGTTATGGGTCAGTTTTTGACTCTATGTACACAACAACAGGCAGGAAAAAGAGTACGGTTTTGGTTTTTGATATTAGGCTTTACTAATTTGAGTCAGACCTGACCCAGAGCTGACTCTCCAGTGAGACTTCAGGGGCAATAAATTTCACGGGAGCTCTGGTGACCCAGTGGCAAGAGCTGTGCTGCAATCCTGAAGGCATGTGGTTCGAGGCCACCAGCTGCTCTGTGGGAGAAGGCTGGGCAGTCTCTTCCCAAGTGATTAATTGCCTTTGAAAATCTGCTGGAGGTCAGCTATGTGTCAGTTCTGACTTGACACAACCACAGCAAATCTCATAGGAGGAGACTGCTCTTCCTTCTACTACAGAGCAGCTGGTGGATTAAAACCATATGCCTTTGGGATTGCAGTGCAGCCACTAGGTACTCTGGCCACCAGGACTCAATATTAATAGTCTTTTCCCTATGCATGTGTATGTAAAAATGAAGCTGTTTTCCATACAACCAGGATATACTTGTATACATTATTTTGAAAATAACTTTTGTTTGCCACTTAGAAATATATTTTGATTGTTTGCCATCTGAATGTCTTCTTTGGTGAACTGTCTGTTCATATCCTATGCCCATTTTTCAATTGGGTGATTTACCTTTATCTTGTTTGTGGTGCTCAAGTATTTTCTAAATTCTAGATATAAGTCCCTTATCTGACATGTCATTACTTTTTCCCAGTTTGTGGCTTCCCTTTTACCCTGTAGAGAAGTTTTTGGATGTGCATAGGGATTTGATTCTTAGAAGGTCTCATCCATCTATTTTATCCCCTCCTGGTTGTAGATTTTTCAGGATG